TAAATTCCGGGCGCGCGAACGGCTATCGAACTTTTGTGAAATATTAATTTCGGCGCGGCTCGATTTCTGCGATTCGGCCCGAATCGCGCAGGCACGGCCTCGCGTTTCCAAATTTTTCACGGGCTCGCTAGGAATTCGCGAGCCGTTACAACATTTCGTAATTCAATTCGTCCGTTCTAAATGATTCTCTCGGGATCCATCCGACTGGCGCGCGTTAGACCGCGTCGAATCAGGAATAATATTTGCACGGTTGTTTCTCACGAACTTTCTCTCTAGCAGCGAGGAGTATTCGCAAATATTTATAACCGTCATTAATGACTGTACTACGAAACTGCACGGAAATTGAATCGTAGCGCGGCACGGCGCGGCACGGCGCGGCGCACGGTGATGCGATCTTATGGCCTTTCGGGACAATGATCGTAACTTCTAAACTAATTAATCTTCGACCCGAGTACCTTCATAATTTTTTAAAGGGAACAAAAAACTCTTTTATCAACGTTTAGTATTGTAATTTTTTAGAAACCGTGTCCGTTGTACCGACAGACAGTCGGCAGTCGAGATCGAACCGCCGAGCGATCGATTTACCGAGATTCGAGCTGCCGTTGTATAATTTTATTATCGCGTTCGCGTTATCGTAAATAAAATGCTGCGACGTACGTCTATACCGGTAGAAATACCAAAATATGTACCGGTATCGCCGAGAAGAATATAAAGTCCAGAGATTGAATCGGAATCGGCATTAAAACTGGAACGTGATGGGATGAAACGTAATAGAAATTATGTACATACGATGAACCGAACGACAGACGACGCGCATCGATCGTTACGGATCCTAACGAGCCGTGAAACTTGGCTCCATTAAAAACAAAAAGATCGACGAACAAGCAGACGCTGAAAATTCATGACAATTCGAATATCCTGTTTGATCGCCACGGGTAATATAACGCGAGCGTACGGAGAAACACAGGGAGCGAAGTTCGGTGTAATACGTTTCCACAGATCGTAAAAACTTTTTCGGTACGATACGATACGATACGCGAATACCCGGAACCGGTGCGGCGCGTGTATCGAGCACGCGACGATCCACGACCGAATCGTTGAACACGGTTGCTCGATAAATTACTTTTTCGTGTTTAATGTTCATAACGAACGCGTGGAATTCTAACGCTTCGGCAACTCTCGTCGTTCAGCGCGTACAATTATTATTATTAATAACATTATTATTATTATCATTATTATTCTTATTATACCGTGCGGTAAAGTAATTTGTGCGGTTAAGCCTGCCGGACGATAACACGAGCTTTAGTACGCCTCTATCGGTACGGTTACGAACGCCGTGTCGTTATCATTAACACACTTCCATATCGTGGCTTTAACGTGCTCATTGGTGTACGCAAAGTAAGTGCCTTTTCAGCGAAGCGCGAACTTGTAATCGATTTTAGCGTGTTGTCGCGACTACTTGTTATCGCAGCTCTCTTTCTATTCTTCAAAAATATTAGAATATCTTCGTCCGTTCCTTCGTAGATTTATGCGTCATTTCAAAGTAGAAATATACTAATTATGGGATGAAATTGGCGAGCCGGGTTAAACCGAAGGGTTAGACCGAGGCCTGTTCGGTCTTCGAGAGGTTTTATGGCACGCTGTTGGCCGACGTAAAATCTTGATCGATGTAATGTCTCCCTTATACCGACGCTCGGATTGTCCACAAAAATGGACAATTTGGGAAGAGGAGATACGATTATTCGAGCCTCGCGTCTCGTTTTTATAGTCGTTGACAATTCGTAACTATGAAAATGAACCGCAAGGATCGAATATATACGATTATTCGATCGTATCTCCTCTTCCTAAATTGTCCATTTTTGTGGGCAATCCGAGCATCGATTAGAGAGACATTGCTGTATCGGGGAAGCGGCGAGCGGCAAGCGGATGTTTGTAAGGTAACGATGAACGGAGAATGGAAAATAATTAGAAATTCCACTGTTCGAAAAAGGGGATGCTGCAGAAATCACGGAACGGAGAAAGCGAGCGGGTAAATTCGCGATATCGCGCGCGAAGTTTCGTAGAAGTACGAGTATAATATTATTTCGGATGTAATACGATCTATTCCGATGTGCGCGAAATTCGGTCTTCTCTCGCGCGAGAATCCTCTCTCGAACGTTGCTCGACTAGAACATTATTCGGAAATTTGGTAAAACTAGACGCATGAATAATTTACGAAATATTTGGACGAACGACGGTACCGGGGTCTCGGAGACATCGGGACGTTGTCAACGCAAAGGCTGCAGTTTCGACGCTGCCACTCGCAACATGCAAATTAACTCGCNTAGAAATTATGTACATACGATGAACCGAACGACAGACGACGCGCATCGATCGTTACGGATCCTAACGAGCCGTGAAACTTGGCTCCATTAAAAACAAAAAGATCGACGAACAAGCAGACGCTGAAAATTCATGACAATTCGAATATCCTGTTTGATCGCCACGGGTAATATAACGCGAGCGTACGGAGAAACACAGGGAGCGAAGTTCGGTGTAATACGTTTCCACAGATCGTAAAAACTTTTTCGGTACGATACGATACGATACGCGAATACCCGGAACCGGTGCGGCGCGTGTATCGAGCACGCGACGATCCACGACCGAATCGTTGAACACGGTTGCTCGATAAATTACTTTTTCGTGTTTAATGTTCATAACGAACGCGTGGAATTCTAACGCTTCGGCAACTCTCGTCGTTCAGCGCGTACAATTATTATTATTAATAACATTATTATTATTATCATTATTATTCTTATTATACCGTGCGGTAAAGTAATTTGTGCGGTTAAGCCTGCCGGACGATAACACGAGCTTTAGTACGCCTCTATCGGTACGGTTACGAACGCCGTGTCGTTATCATTAACACACTTCCATATCGTGGCTTTAACGTGCTCATTGGTGTACGCAAAGTAAGTGCCTTTTCAGCGAAGCGCGAACTTGTAATCGATTTTAGCGTGTTGTCGCGACTACTTGTTATCGCAGCTCTCTTTCTATTCTTCAAAAATATTAGAATATCTTCGTCCGTTCCTTCGTAGATTTATGCGTCATTTCAAAGTAGAAATATACTAATTATGGGATGAAATTGGCGAGCCGGGTTAAACCGAAGGGTTAGACCGAGGCCTGTTCGGTCTTCGAGAGGTTTTATGGCACGCTGTTGGCCGACGTAAAATCTTGATCGATGTAATGTCTCCCTTATACCGACGCTCGGATTGTCCACAAAAATGGACAATTTGGGAAGAGGAGATACGATTATTCGAGCCTCGCGTCTCGTTTTTATAGTCGTTGACAATTCGTAACTATGAAAATGAACCGCAAGGATCGAATATATACGATTATTCGATCGTATCTCCTCTTCCTAAATTGTCCATTTTTGTGGGCAATCCGAGCATCGATTAGAGAGACATTGCTGTATCGGGGAAGCGGCGAGCGGCAAGCGGATGTTTGTAAGGTAACGATGAACGGAGAATGGAAAATAATTAGAAATTCCACTGTTCGAAAAAGGGGATGCTGCAGAAATCACGGAACGGAGAAAGCGAGCGGGTAAATTCGCGATATCGCGCGCGAAGTTTCGTAGAAGTACGAGTATAATATTATTTCGGATGTAATACGATCTATTCCGATGTGCGCGAAATTCGGTCTTCTCTCGCGCGAGAATCCTCTCTCGAACGTTGCTCGACTAGAACATTATTCGGAAATTTGGTAAAACTAGACGCATGAATAATTTACGAAATATTTGGACGAACGACGGTACCGGGGTCTCGGAGACATCGGGACGTTGTCAACGCAAAGGCTGCAGTTTCGACGCTGCCACTCGCAACATGCAAATTAACTCGCGCTACTTTTAGGGAGACGCTCGAATCCTGGTGGCGCGGCTCCTTCTCGCCGGTTACGAATCGAGGAGCGCGAGACGGTGCGGAAGACGTTGAGTATTTCAACGTCGAGATTGTCCCGCGAAGAAGCTGCGACAAGAACGGACAGCCTCGATCGAGTATTCTTTCGAAAGCGAAACTCGCGTTCGCTATTAAGCGGACGACGATAAAGGCGAGGCTTCGACCACGGTCGTCGAGTCCCGTTCCAATTAGAAAATGTTTCGGATGTCTCCGCAGCTAACGAGGAATATAAAAACGGGACGCGGATCAAATACAGCGTGGGAGCATCGCGAATAATCCTTTTCATACGAAAAACATTTATTTCCGTCCTCCTGTAACAGTTGTATTTTCATGAATGCGAACAACGTGGCATTCATTCGTCGAGAGAGAGTGTTCTCGCGAGGCGGTCATTGTTTCGCTGAAAAGGATTCGTCGGAGTAACCGAATATTTCATATTTTATGCAAGATCCGCGAATATTCAAATGCTCCTGGACTACAATGCGACGCGGCTCGGGCTCGGGCTCGGGCTCGGAATCGGAATCGGAATCGGAATCGGAATCGGAATTCGAATCGAAATAATCCTCCGCCAGCGAAATAAGAGCCTGCGCGTCGCGCGTCTTCTTTCGAACCGGAAACAGATTTTCCTCGTTTTTTCAAATCTGATTACCCTCGAAATCGGAGCATGGCGCGAGAGAATTCCATTTGATACGTCCAAATTGTTTTCGAACACGGTTTCCTCTGTTTTTTTCGTTTCGCTGAAAACGTCGGGAACATCGTGCCACCTAACCACGCGAATCCATTTGTCTTTTTTTTCTCGTTAAAACGTCGAACGCTTTGTTCCGGGGGGAAAAAAAATAGTTCTAGATTTCCGCGCGGCGATGCAGCGTTTATTCGCCGATACTAAATTCGCGTGTCCGCGTTCGATTATTGTACTACGAGCCCGGCCCGAAAAACCTTCGTACTCGCGTGCAAATGCACGCCGACGCCGCGCCGTTAAAAGCGTCCCGCGCCGTCGCGATGCGACGATCGTTTGAAAGGTGCGTAATTAAAACAGAACCGGGCCACTGTGTGCGTTAATTGCGAACTCACCTCCATATTCGCGCCTTCTACCCGCCATTCGACGAACGGCGGTTTTCTATCCTTTATGTACTGCAGTATCTTCTTGTCGTCCTTCATGAATTCCACTTTGTGCAACAAATCATCCGATACGCTATGGTTGCAATGTAGCGCGGCCGTGTTGCCATACGTCACGTAGGACGGCGCGATCAATTGCACGTGCACCGTGGAAGTCGCCGTAGAAGTTGCATCTGGAAGTCAACGATAATAATATTCCGTTAAACGTGTCTTCATTCCCCGTCGGAATTTCCAACCGTTCGGTTCCACGTTCGGTGGCTCGCGTCTCGTTTCTTTAGGCGCGAACTTTTAGCCTAGATTCGATATTTAGATTCGATTTTATGCGAATCCGAGGTGGTAGATCGCAGGATTTCCGGAGACAAGGGTCGATCGGCGAAGCCGATTATATTTTTACGTCTTTCCAAATCGCGTACGAGAGAATTGTCCCGTTTTATTGCGTCGATAATCGCGACGACCGGTGGTCGATATTCGAAGACGACGATCGACCGATCTGCTTGAAAAAAATCGGAATCGTTCGGTTGATAATTTGCTTGGAAAAATGTTCGATCTTGCCACGGAATCGATGCGAAATACGACGAAAGATCGTACGAAATTGCCGCTGAAATGCAGGTTGTTGAAATTACGGAAGACGAAAGCGTCGATTGTTTGAACGATCAAGGCCGGCGCGGCGTTCGCGCGCGAACGAATAATTGGAACGTATCCCGCGAAGCAGCGTCGCGATATTCTATCGATGTTGTATTCGATTCTGTTATTATACAGCGAATATTAAGCGAACGAGCGCAACAAATGGAATAGCGATATTACATTAAAATTGCATCGCTCTCGTTGACATTTCAAACATCGCGAATATATATATATAAACCGATGGGCGCGCGTCGCAAAGGGCATGCGACAAATGGAAAGATAATGACGCGCTACATAGAAACAAACTCCTCTTTCTGTGCGAACGCGATTCACATACTTCGTGCGTATATCTCGTTTAACGTTGAATCGCGGATTCACGATTGAATAACTGCGCGGCGCCATAGAGATATCGAGGCAAGAACAGAGAATTTTCCGCGGAAAAAAAACTTTGATGGAATTCGATAAAAAAGGTTCGCGAGAAATGGACGCGCTCGAGCGAGGAATTTTTCGAAAAAGAGACGAAAAAAAACGCGAGTAGAGGAGGAAGAAATCTAGCGGAAACAGTTCGTTGATTCGGCGCCGTGAAAAACGAAAGTAATGCCGAATTTTCGCCTCGTGCCCGTACATAACGCGAGGCGAGGCGAGGGTTTCGTCGACACGGCGCGCGACACGCGACGCGCGACACACGGTCTCGGCACCGACAATTATTAAGTCGTTAAAATATTGTCGGCGTTCGAAAGAGCCACGCGGTACTCGCATCGTTGCGATAAATTACATCGCAGTTTCACGCCTCTGTAAAGTTATTAATTAATTCACGCGCCAAGGTAAGCTCCATCCGTTGACGCGACGAGAGCATAAGCACCGTCGAATACGCGTGTGCGTCACGGGATCCTGTATTCGCTTTAATTCGAACTCCGAACGAATCAATTAATTAAGATACTTAACGAATACACGTGGATTACATTACGACCGTGTTTGTTCGCGCCCGTTCCATAGCATTAAACCCAATTTGTCGAATAATTTTAGTTCGATCGCGCCGTACACCGTTCGGCGAACGAGGCCGCGGCTTTCGAACGCGTATTATAAATTTCAAGGCACGTTTCGCTGTCGAACAGTGAACTCGAGCGTCGACCGCGATCGAGCGCTTCGTTAGAAGATCGTTAAAAGCCGTTCGTCGTCGCTGAAGTTCGTCGTCGTTGATCGAGATCGAACGGCGGAAGGCCAGGATTTTCACTGAACTTCGAAAAGTAGAAAAGCGTCCGTAAAATACTACAAATATCTTGTAATCGTCGGTTGGATATTTCGGGACGATCCCGAGGGGAAGTTCGTCGGAAAATTTCCAGCGAACGGGAGACATCGAATAAAATTCAAATAACTGTAAAACTGGGACGAGTAACTAGAACGAACCTGTTCGTCGTCGAGCAAACTTGATACGTGGCTATTAGACTTATTAATCAAGTATAATAAGGTCGTTAGCACTTAACCAGCGCGGAGCGGCGCGGAGCAGCGCGGCGGAACAAGACCACGGGAATAATAATAATAGTATTAAATCAACCGATCCCGATAGGTTTCGAAGCCGGTGCCTGCTACCTACAGATATTACGACAATTTAATGTAATTCCGACGCCGAATACACGAAACTGGACTACATAGTTCGTATACGTATGCGTTGTTCCTCCGTCTGTTCTATCTTGAAAAATTTAACGTCGTCTTCGACGGTGTGCCGCATAAGTTATGAGACGTATTCCGTTCCACCAATTTGCATGGATAAATCGTTGTTGCGAATATCGCGATCCCGGGAAAAAATTAGTCGGCGGTTAACGGCCACGATAAAAACGCGATATATAATACGCAGGTATGTAAATATAAAACGCTCGAAACACCGAAGTCCTTTCTCGTTGGCTTTTACATTTTCCGCCAGGATGCGTTCCGTGGGCGTTTATGAATTATGCCGTGCAGTCGTGCCGAGATTAAATGGTCGACTAATTCGACTGTAATTATTGAATATACACCGTCGCGCAAACTGGTGCGTTAGCGTCTATCGATGCGACGAATTTCTAGGCGAGGAACTGGGTCGCCCAGAACGATCAACGTTTACGCGTCGGATTGCCGCGCTTCTGGAGATCTGTATTATTTTAGTTAACCGCCGCCGTTCCTTTGGCACGAATTAATTCGTGGCAGTCGGGTCAACAGGAAATTACATTATTCCACGATCGTCCGTAGACATCTGCGTCACGCTGGATGGAGCACGGTCCTGCCACGCTTTGATTTTTAGTAATCTCGCGCGTCGGTTGTCTCGCTTATGAAAGCCCGATTCCGTGGTATCCCTCGTTCGCTCGTTCGATATCCTCCTGGATTAATTTCCTCGCGTCTCCAGAAGCGACTACTAAAATGAAACGCGTTTATCGCAAAACGAATAGATCGAGTACAGAACCGTAGAGACATTGGAAGAATTTGCGAATATTATTACAGATTTCTCGAGCTCGCTGTATCTTCGTGTCCGTTTAATTCGCGCGGAACGTTTTATTTTGCACAAAGGTCCGCTATAAATTGTCAGCGTCCGTATGCTTCGAAACTGCAGAGTCGCGGATCGCTGGCCAGACGTTGTTCGGTCTTTGAAAGATTTACGATAGGTTTTCAGCGATCTCGAAAGAGCGTAGCTACCGACCACGTTGCTGTATCCAGCGATCGACTGTAACGGAGGAGATGTTTAATTAACGGAAGCGGAAAAATCGACCCCACCCTAATACCAAAATTTGAAACGCGAGCTCGTCGGCAATTAACCTTTCGAGGTTTCAATTTTGCTAATGAATAGAATTTCCCGATCGAAACGATACGCGCAAATTAACGAGATCTAATTTAATTTGCATTTCCTTTATCTCGAATCTCTGTAAAAGGAAACACGGTGAAAAATGGAATAACATTTTGTTTCGATGGGCAAGCAGGATCGAGCACAATTGTTATCGACCCTTTTACGTTACGTTAGTTACTTGTACGTTAGAACAAACTTCCAGACTAAACCTTCCCGCGCTCCGAGCATTTATTACCCTATTATAATTACTGGGCCGAAACTTCCACGCGGAACTTTAAAACGAAACTTTTCAGCTTGTCAGAGGCAATAATTTCGTCCATGTTTTCGAAAACTTTCTCGCCCGGCGTGCTCGGTAATACATCCGAAAGGCGATGAATTCGAATGGGAGGCGAAAAAGGATTTAATTAACCGGAAGCAACGTGTTAACAATACCGTGTACCGACCTCGAGGGATTTTTACGCGCGCCGCGGCCGCACCGCATACAGGAATCGAGGATTTCCATGATCGATTCTCTTTAAAACGAAGGCGCGCGTATATGACAAGCTTGCTCCGCATTTTCACTCTTTTTTCGGCTTCGAGGGGAAAAGTCCGAGAATACTTTCAGAGAGGTTGCAAAAAGGGGGAGCAAAAACTAATGGCCACACTCTGTCCGGAGGACTCTGGAGCAAAATGCGAAAGTCGCGAAGAATGGCGTAAATACCGGTCTAGCGCGAAGACGTGGGAGTACGCGATGCACGGTCGCGAGCGAACAAGACTGCAGTGTCAAATAGAAGAATGCTGTACACGCGGAGATGCCAGTATTCTACGGATTTTATGCAGTCGAAAATGTTTAGAAACGTTGTTACATTAATTTCCTCGGGGAAGTCGACGAATTTCCAAGGGCTCCAACATTTTTATTTTGCATCAAGATTCGCGGTTCGAATGGTTCAATTGTTGCGGATGATAACAAGATCGATATCTCGATAGCAAAAAACTGTTTGGACCGTATCGAAATGAATTCTTTTCGATACTTATACCACGACTGTTACAGCAAAAGCCACCTAGACGTTGTCAAAGGTGTACCCTCCGAACTGTTAATTTTTCGGAAAAGCCGACTTTACGCTGTCCCATCCTGACTTCGTAGAAAATTATGATTGGGCTCTATAAGAACACAAAGGAAGGTATTTGAAAAGGAAGGAAAAGACGACAGTCAAAGGCTAATTGCGAGCGCAAGGTGTGGTAACGTGGAAGAGAGAAATCGGTGGCGGTTAGAGGAAGAGAGAAGCGAACTTGCTCCGTGCATCGTGGTGAACACAGAAAATGCACCGCTTTAAAAATGTCAGAAGGTGTGCAAAGAGTGTTTGTGCTTTCACAATATCGTTGCTTCGGAATATGTACGTGGAACGATTAAAACACTCGTTGAACACAATGTTTAGGGCGTAGTACAATTCGGTCGGCCGTATAATTTGAAAATAGAAATACCGAAGCGTCCAATATACAGCGTGTGCTATAACTATAATATATATTATTACAAATATATACGGACCAGCGAATACGTGCTCTATTTTATACGTATTCCAAAGCCGTTGAAAAATGTTACACCTTGGTACCTTGAGTACGGACGCGTGTCGGGTTCGTTTTAGGACCGTGAAGCCAATGAACTTGCCCGAGGTTGCAAAACCAAATTTTCTCAATAAACAAACGCGTCTTGACAGCTCGCAACTTCTTCGTATTTAATAGCGGCGCGTTCCAGCGCAATCGGGCGAGGGAAGCGTCTATTAAATCGAGGATTTTCCTGGGCTGAAAACTAGGTCGTCTAGGACGATCAGCGTTTTCGTGTCAAGCTTCCGTGTTAATTCGATCGAGGGGGAGCACGCCGATTAATCGGGGCCACGCACGGTCTACGACCGATTCCCGTGGAACAAATTCGGAACGACCCCGTCAAAAATACGAGACGGGGCTAATGAAACCGTATCTATCGAAGAATAGAGAGGTTTCGTTCGGTTGTAACTACTTGTGGCAGTACCCTGTTGCTGGGAGGTGTTACTGTATCGATCACTGGAAGCGCGTGTTACCAACACGCGCGCACGCCGCGCCGTCCAAGGCTTTCAAGACGTTCCGAAAGCACCATGTTCGAGGAGGACAACGAAATCGTAGAAATGAAATCGTCCCGCCTTGTCGCGAACCGTTGCCCGCCTTACACCCTGGCTGAATCGGTTTCACCCGACTTTGCTGGAAATCGCTTGGCTTCCGGGAACGTGCAAAAATGAAAATCAAACGATAAAAATCCGAGAAAAATGAAATAATACAACGACCGGGTGATTCGGGTCTTCTACTTACGTGCGAGAGAAAACGCCTAGTCGTCCGAACGATTCGTTGAGAAATAAAAATACATCGGGATACGTGGAAATTAAAAATTATAATTTATTAACAATATAAATAGGAAAAAGAAGAATATAGGATACAGAAAAATTAATATTATTGCTGCTGAATCGTTACCAAGTGCGAAAATAAAGTTCTTAATCGAGGCCGCTAGCAGGTAGCACCGCAAGACCTTTAAACCGAACACACGTATTCCTATAAAAGAAAAGCACGAATGAAGCAACTGAAAATAAAATAATAATAGAACCGATAGGGGAAAAATTACACAGCGGTACGCTTGGATATGGAACGGTGCGACAGTTAGCGGTGTGTGCCTGTACGTGTGAATTGTCGAACGACACTCGAATGCGTACGAAAAAACCGGGAAAAATGTGAACGCTCGATTTCGCACGGAAATTGGCCGGCTATCGTGTCCCCGGTCCGTAAGTAGGCTAATCTCCGAGTGAAAAAACTTAACGCGATTGCGACACGCATTTTCAACCGCGTTGCCACTTCTAGTTTCGACGTTACAGTAGCCGAAGCAAGCTTTGAATTTCCGCGAACGACGTTGCGCATTTCAGTAAAAAGCTTTTTCATCCGCGTTTTATCAATGAAGTAGCCAGCCGTTGCAATGGCTTTCATTCAAATCATGACGCAGACACGCGCACACACGCACGACCGCACACACGTACACGGGGACACACAGAGGTATAGAATTTTACAACGGAACACTTTTATGCGCGAAACGGAATAAAACCGTGGCGATAAGCTTATCAAGATCGAATGTACATTTCAAGGGAAAGTTTGCGCCGCGTCTGAACAACCGTGACACATAAACCGTGAATAGAAAATAATCGGTTATTCTTTCGCAGTCCCGGAGGAAAATGAACTGGCCGGGTTGGGTGTTTACGATTGCGGCGACGACTTACATGAAAATAATTGGAAAATATATACGAATACGATTTTTCCCCAGTGCGCTGGCCGGTGCGACATTGCTGTACGGATTCGTTGCGACGTCTACGCGTAACCGTTACCGTCTCTACTCTACTTAAATTACAGAAAAAACGTGCTTCTATTTTGTACAGTGACGTGCCTTTAAACTACACAACTTCGAGCCGAGTCGGCGCTACAACTGACCAAGCTTTTCGATCGTTCCGACCCGACCAACTTCCATAGAACATGAAACATAGAGCGGAGACTCGCTTGTCTTCCGGTTTATCGGGCGATCTTTCGAATCGGATTTGCTAATGAGTCTGGCATGAAATAGGCGATAGCGAGCCGTGACTGCCGCGACCCGACTCGATAACGGAATCTGATGCCTTTACGATACACCGCGGCAATACGTACAATATGGATGCACATATTTCGTTTCGACTTCCATTATATTACCGCGTTCGCGCAACCTTTCAGATATCCGCAAAACATAGTTACATAATACGTTCGACTCGATGAATTTGTTCGTATCGTATTTACCGTTTAACGCATAAAGAAACCATTTCCTTAAGATCGAACATTGCATCGTGAAATAATTAATAACTTACTGAAACTTCTATGATATCGCATGATATTACGAATTATTTATTTAGTATCGTCGTTAGATAAATATGCAATTTTATGAATTCATTTTTCTTTTATCATGTTTATTTATTTAAATACTCGAGAAGAACTTTTTATACAGCATTTTTTTTTTATAGCGAGAAAAATGGCTGTTTCACATTCTTTGTCTGCACGCATGCCAAAATGTAAATCAAATTTGAATTATAAACGCATAAAAAATGTATTATTTTTTGGCATGTATGCATAGATTTATCCCGAACGATGACGAACGGTTATTTATTGCCTTTCTCTTTCAAAATGGTATACATAATAAATCCATATGGCTAATTGCAAGCAAGTGACAGCTACACGGTGCAAATGCAGCTGTTTCATATGTGTAAGTGTAAGTAAGGCTGACGTATTCATGTAAACACGTTAAGTTACGTGTTACGTGTCTTCTGTCTCGTCTCGTATGAATGCGTAAACTCTATTTAGAATGAAATAAATACGTGTAAATTACAATATCCAAAAAATCGTGACAAAAACAGATATGGAAGGACATGATGAAGATGACCTAGAAGATCTGAATTCAACTATTTGTACTCTTCCGCCAAATGTACAGAACGTCATTGAACAGGTTAGGATTTTGACAAAGCTACCTGATTGTTATGACAACTGTCACATCAACGAAGCTTTACGTATTCTCATCAATTTTGATCAGCGCTGTTCTAATAAAATTCAACTGCATACACAATCACCGTTCATCCTAATTTACAAAACGTGACAACTGCTTATTACTGTGCATTTACTGCTTCTGAAATTTATATTCATAATTTATTTTCCAACCGTGTTATTAGGTTCTACCCAGTACCGATCCATTGGACCAACCAAATTTCAATGCTGTGGATTACATAAATTCGCTATTCCCAACGGAACAGTCTCTATCGAACATAGACGATGTATTGAACTACATGGAATCTAAGACACGTACTATCGACAAGGAGATACGCTCCGTGGTACGTGGTCAAACGAATGTGGGGCAAGATGGAAGAGCGGCGTTGGAGGATGCACAGAAAGTCATAAAACAACTATTTGTACATATCAAAGATATAAAAGATAAAGCAGAACAATCCGAGGAGGTGGTTAAAGAAATAACAAGAGACATTAAACAAATGGACTTTGCCAAAAGAAACCTCACTGCCTCTATTACCGCTCTGAATCATTTACACATGCTTGTAGAAGGTGTAGATTCTTTAAAGTATAGTATCTTGATTTCTATCAGACACATTTATCGTATTTATTATAACTAGACGGATTAAATATTACATCGTACGTCTATTCCCTCAGAGTGTTAACAGAAAAGAAACAATACGGTGAAATCATTTTGCCATTGCAAGCTGTAATGGAAGTAATGCAGCATTTTAATAGTTACATGGATATACCGCAAGTGAAACAATTGTCCGACGCGGTATGTAATATTTCGGTCATAAATTCTCATTTAGGAATCGCCGAATGCTTTGCTAATTAATGTTTCGCTTACAGGTACGTCAAATCCAAGTTGAGCTGGCCCAACAAATTACGGCAGATTTCAAGCAAGCATTTTCTGGCCAGAATCCAAAATATTTCAATCAGCTAACGGAAGGTTGTTTGGTGTTGTCCATATTAGATCCTAAAGTGAAGTATGTATAATTAGTTATAGTTTTAACTATTAACTAAGTTCAAAGACGACTGTAATAATTTACCATTTTTCACAAGGAAGGATCTGCTCACCTGGTTCGTAGGTATACAGCTACAAGAATATGCTCATCTGTTCGAGGAGAATCAAGACTTTGCCTGGCTGGATAAAATAGATCGGCGATATGCGTGGATAAAGAAGCATTTGCTTGACTTTGAATCGAAATTCGGAACTATCTTTCCACAGGACTGGGAAATCTCAGAACGAATAGCTGTACAGTTTTGTAACGTTACGCGTGAAGATCTGACTAAATTAATGCACAAAAGACGTTCAGAAATCGATGTGAAATTATTGTTGTATGCAATCCAAAGGACTAGTAATTTTGAGACACTGTTATCAAAAAGATTTAGTGGTATCACTTTGGAGAATACTGAAACGTCAGTTAAAAAATCTAGTAATGCTGATGCCACTGATAAAGTATCCACTAATCCGTTTGAAATAAATGAACAGGTGCAGAATGAAAAACCAAAGCCATCACCATTTACCAATCTTATTGGGACATGTTTTGAGCCATATCTAAGTATTTACATAGAAAGCTTGGATCGCAATTTAGCAGATTTAATGGAAAAATTTGTGTCAGATTCCAAAACGCAACCCCCTGGTGGTAAAGAATTCGATGGTATCGAGGGACCTAGTAGCGTTTTATCTTCTTGTGCAGATTTGTTTGTGTTTTATAAAAAATGCATGTTGCAATGCACACAACTCAGTACTGGCTTGATTATGTTGAGTCTGGCTGAAACGTTCCAAAAATATCTGCGCGAATACGCTATTAAAGTACTTCAAAGTAATTTACCGAAGTAAGCGATATACATGCTAGAAATGCCATTAAAAACCATCACTCGATGGAGTTTGATTATGTAAAAAAATCTGTTACAGGATCGGTGGTAGCGCAGGACTTGCCACAAGTATGAGTAGCATTACTCGTGATTTCCGAGATCTCTCAACATCTGGCTTTATACAAAATTTCCAAAGCTTTTTGAAGGAAGGTGAAACTACTAGATTCAGCAAAGAAGAACAATCACGTATATGCTGGTAAAAATTTCTTCGTTGATCTTATTGTCACTAGGCAAACAAATAAAAGAAAACATGAAATCTGTAAGTATATGTTACAGTGTATTAACAACGGCTGAATATTGTTCGGAGACAACAAAACAATTGGAAGAAAAATTGCGAGAAAAGACGGATAAATGTTATGCTGAAAAGATTAATTTGTCTCAAGAACAGGATATTTTTCACAGGTATGTAATCCATATGATTCACTGAGTGTTCATTGAATTTTTTTTTTATTAAAACTTTGATGACTTTTTCAGTGTGATATCAAATTGTATTCAGTTGTTAGTTCAAGATTTAGAGTCAGCATGTGAATCTGCATTGACTGCAATGACGAAGGTATGCAAGTTATACGATCGTATTCTATTTCCGCATTTATATTTGCAATATTTATCATTTTAGGTTCAATGGAGTGCGATAGAAGTTGTCGGCGATCAGAGCAATTATGTTAATACTATTGTAACACACCTTCGACAAACAATACCTACTATCAGAGATAGGTTGTCCGCGTGCAGAAAATATTTTACTTATCTATGCGTAAATTTTGCAAGGTAACATGCATTTAATTTTTGTTAAAATTATATTAATACATTAATGACCCTTCTATTTGTCTGCAGCTCATTTATAGTGAAATTAGTACAACAATTGTATAAATGCAAACCTTTAAATACTATGGGTGCAGAACAATTGTTGCTCGATGTAATTGTGTTGAAGACTGCTCTCTTGGATCTTCCAACAACGGGTTATCAAGATCAGAGAAAACCACCAGCGGCATATACTAAGGTAACATCCGTTACGATCCGTATATGCCCATGGCTATATTAATTCGTTTCTTACGATGATCAGGTAGTGATAAAGGGCATGGCAAGCGCTGAAATGATTCTCAAAATTGTGATGTCACCAATTGAATCTCCAAAAGACTTTGTAAAACAGTGTAGATTACGTTTTCCGGACCTAGAAGCCCAAGAATTTAAGAAGATCCTGGATATGAAGGTAAATAAAACATTCTCTTGCAACTTGTATTTAACTTATCATGATTCTAAATGATTTGCAGGGTTTGAAGAAAACAGAGCAAGCTCTTCTAGTTGAACAATTCAAGCAACCAGAAAATGCAGCCAGTTCGCATGATACAAAGGGTCACACTGTTCAGGATAGTCCAGAACATGAAGCCGGGCGAATAAAAAAACTAGAAAAATTAATAAAGAAAAGAATATGAGCATTTTTTGATAGTAAATCTTATATATTCTTATATCATCTTATAAAATTGAAATACTTGCTAAGTATTGTATACCTTACAGTCTATCTTAACTCTTATTAAAATTGTTTAAAGGTCATGTGCCATTTAGAACACAAAAGAACTGTTTTTTTATTCTTTATTGTTGTACATTGTAAACAAAACCCGATAAACAGGATGATGTTAACCCTGTTTTTGCGCGAGTTCTTTCGCCTTAGCCTTCTCTAACTTAGCTATCCTAGCAGCAGATTTGCTGCCCAAAAGACCACCACCCCAATGACGCCTGATTTCATCGTATCTATCATTGAAGTTTACCTTCACAGCTTCGACCAATTTGGCGAAGTTAGCCCTATCACCAGAATCCACCTGCAAGTATAAATATCACATTACAGAAAACGTTGAAGCTATCGCAAAACAGAGATGACTGTAAAAGTAAATCAGCTAAATATTTTGGAAATATATCACGTGCAATCATTGGATTGGCTCTATCTTTGTTCATCATTTATGGTTTAAATACATAAATAAAATAAAAATAGTTTTCGATAATGTAATTATTATAATTATTCTTGCCTGTGTAATCGCCACGGTAGCACACGTTTTGCGTCTGACAAGACGTCCCAAACGAGCTTTACCCTTCAAAATGCAGTAGGGTACACCCATCTTACGGCAAAGGGCTGGTAGGAAGAGAACAATCTGCGAATAATAATAGTATGACAAAAATTGTGTAATAAATTGCACGGGTTATAGAATTGCTTATGTACTTTACTCAGAATGTCATTTATCATCTTACAAATAATATGGAATATATCCTCAGGTGAAGAAATTCAAGTAGCATCATTGTTAAAAGCAAAATAAATAATAATTCTAATAAAAGGAGACACATATTTACCTCAATCGGATCCACATCATGTGCAATCACAACAAGTTGAGCTTTTTTCTGTTCAACAAGCGTAGTAACGGTGTTTGTTCCACTACGCAATACATTAGGTTTCTTTGTTGGCGTATCGTCCTTCTTGGCAACTTTTTGTTCCGCTCTAGCTTTCAGTCTCATTTTTTTCATCGCTGCAGATTCAGGCCTGTATTTCTCCATCATTTTGAATAACTGTGTCGCTGTAACGATTAGGACAAGTTAGTGGTTATTTTCGAGCGATTCAATTTCTTTTAATTATTCTTCAATTACGAACCGGTTTGTTTGTCCAATGTCTGCGTGAACTGGTTGATCGGTGGTGGTACCTTCAACCTCTTTTGAAGCACAGCCCTCTGACGCTGGATACGAATATATTTGGGCCATTTCACGAACCGACTAAGATCACGAGCAGGCTGAATATCCTGTCCTAAGTATCAAATTCTGTTCAGTAATACATACCATACATTGTTCGTTAACAGCGTGTTTAGAACAATGTTATCTCACCGATTCCAAAATTACGGGTGCGTTTCTCGAAGAGAGGATTAGTCTGTTTCTTGGGTTCAACTTTCTTCACTGCCAGTGGGGCAGCTGCCACCTTCTTTCCCACCTTCTTTTTCGGCTATATAATAAAGAAAGATTTGTTTTTAAATCGTAACCAGAAACGATTAAAACGAGTTCAGTACCCGTGCATAAAATGGTACAGGTTAGCAAGGTTACGGTCAATGGTACAAATTCGAAAGATACGTTTCGTACACAGTCTAATACACCAATATTTTAGAAATCTAAAAAATAATTGAATTCATAAGAATTTTCATGCTCGGTAAGCGAGTATACGTACAAAACAAGTAAAACATATATATTCTGTACATCCAAAACATGCCGAACTGTAACCATTTCAATTCGCAATAATGACATGTTTCGACATGGAAATATTATTTGTATCCGGGAATGTAATAAATTTACCTTCTTTTGGACCATTGTTTTTAATAAAAACCTAACGGATCCTTTATATCACAATGGATATAAAAGTTTATAATTCGCTTAACACGACGCGAACTACGAGCGCCGAGAACGTAAAGAACGATTTTTCCTGCAGCGCCACCCGAAGCGACAGCAGCGCCACTTGACAAACACCATCATGGACTACGTAATTGTTCCTAGATAAGAAATGCGATGATTCGTTTCTTATTCCGATTCATCCACCGGACGATTTTGTTAATGGAATCATTTGAAAACGTCGTTTCCACGTGCAACGATCGCTTCGATCGCTTAAATACAACCATGCTTCGATTACTTCGATTTTATCATGAATACGTTCGTGGGTAAGCAAATATGAGATTCTTAATATTACTTTTGAAACGATTCTAGTCGATCGGTTGTGAAAGTTTGTTGGTCGTGTTTCAGAATGTTTGCTTTCTGTATCACAAAAGTTTTATGAACTTGAATCATCGACGACAGCACGTTGAAAATGTTCGGAGCACGCATGCGCCGATTGGCTCGAGCTCAGGATTCTGGGGCTAGTGGGTGAGCAGGGGAGTGCAGGGTCCGCGCGTCCGCGCGTGCGACTTACGCGCCTCCAACTCCAGTTTAGGTTTAGACGATTTTCTGACGAGGGACGCGTAGGATCGCGTAGCATCCGAGCTGCGTCAGTATTTCGTAGTGCGTCGACGATCCGTCTACTGTACGTTCCTGTCATGAACCTTGCTGTCCGGTATTCTAATGATTTTTGTTCGTTGGTGTGCTCGTGACGGTATGTGATCTGGCTGGTTAGTGATCGCCGACTTATCGTAGCATTTCCTTCCGTCCATCCGTCGATTCCGAGAAGCCTCACGTTTTCTATTAGAGCGTACGTTTAGAAACGTTAGCTACAGGTAACGATAGCATGCCAAGGGTGCTCTTATTCATTTACTTCGAATGATAATTGTACTTGAAACGCATCCAGTCAGCTCTCTCGAATCTACCGAGTGCCCGGTAAAGTTGTTTGCATTGCACGTTGGAGCCGTCATCCGGCATTCTCTTTCTCTTAGCCGTGACCGACAAAAACTTGACAAACTACAACATTTACGATTCATTCGATTTATATTCGATCATCCGTATATAAATTCAGACTCGAAGATTTTCACGCGAACGAAGTGTCGTCATCGAATACAATCAAGTATATGCTTCGAAATAATTTTATGCCGCATTCGCGATTGATACGAGCGAGGGTGAATTGTAGCCAGAACAAACCGAATGTCGGTATCGCGTTGGATCAGCATTTAATATAACAGGCTTTTCCGATACATATAAATAGAATTTTACGACGACTTTGTTCTCCGAATCTTACATTAATCGTAATTTCTTCCATGCATCGCCGTCCAATACATTATACACGCGTACACGTAAATGTATGAATTGCGAGGCAATCAATTCGTGTTATAAAATCGAGGAAATTGTATATGCACCCATAAAGCATTAAATTCGTTTCATTTGTACCATCGAACTTATGTGAAAATGATATTTTTGCTTTGAAAAACAATCTCGTAGAACGAAAGCGATATTAGCTCGCAACGAGTGAACAATATTATCGATCCTAGGTAGAGCATCGATCATTGGAAATGACGATCCGGAAAATTTGCTGTATCGGTGCCGGGTACGTGGGCGGTCCTACCTGCAGTGTTATTGCCTTGAAGTGTCCGGAAATCCAAGTGACCGTTGTGGACAAAAGCAAAGAGAGGATCGGTCAATGGAATTCGGACAAGCTGCCGATTTATGAGCCCGGCCTGGACGAGGTGGTCAGAATTTGCCGCGGGAAGAATTTATTTTTCTCCACCGACATGCAGGCCGCGATCAAAGAAGCCGACCTAATATTTATCTCCGTGAACACACCAACGAAAACGTTCGGCAACGGGAAAGGAAGGGCGGCCGATTTGAAGTATGTCGAGAGCGCGGCCAGGATGATCGCAGAAATTGCTACCGGGGACAAAATCGTTGTCGAGAAGAGTACCGTGCCGGTTAGAGCAGCGGAGAGCATTATGAACATTCTGCGCGCCAATCACAAGCCAGGCGTTTCGTATCAGGTAATGTTACAACGATATTATATTCAAAATTCTGACTCGATGCGTGACGTGCTGCTGCCACGTGACTTCCGCGTGGGTCACCGACATCGATCAAATACATCTTATAGACAAAAATCCGGGATAGGTTATTTTGTAGTTTAGTATCCCATATCCATATCCGTATGTATCTTCAAAACGTATAGGGCGTTCTTTTCGTATTTTTTTTTTCGCAGACTTCATGGTGCGTCCCATTGATTTATTTTTAGAACGGTATATTATAAACAATTGACCCTCGAAGCAGTTCCGTGCTGATACACTTACGAGGGTTCGGAACACGTGTTTCCCAAATTGGACTTACGGGATTTCCGTATGCCACGTATTCACCGAGTGTTCAAATTTCCGCATCGAAGAACACGCGGATTAAAACGATTACGTTTGTCCGATTCCAAATAATTGAAAAAGCGCGATACTCGAAAAGAAAATTTGAGCGTATTGTCAAGTTTCAATTGCTATTCTATTGAAATATTTATATTCGGTAATATACTTTTAATAGTTACTTAATCATACTTTGTAATGTCTTGGGTTGATGTCACTTCTTACACTGCTCGATGCATAATGTATTTTTACTAGACAGTAATTTATGATATTTTACATAGCAGGGAGTGAGATTGTCAGCATCAAATATCTTTATCGAATGTTTCTCGATTGTGTTCATTCTTTAAAATGCAAACATACAGCTGTGATGATTTTTGCCGTGTACAGTCCTGTTTGGCACGTTATACCGCGCGATAAGAAAGTCTGGAAATGTTGAGAACAAACACAGAACGAAAATATTGCATTTATTATTGAATCGCGTGCAAAATTCTAAGTAGGAGCAAACATTAGAAAAATAAGTATTTCTTTTTTAATATTTTATACGCGTCGTTTAAACGAATCTAATTAGAGTAAATAACAAAGAGAATTTTATCTCATATTAAACGTTGTATACCGTAACGTAGTTTACACGAAACTTGAATATAATTGACTAAACCTTCCGTTCTTATCATACACACAACCCGTTCATTAGAACATTACATCGGGGGAGTACTTAAAATCGCAAGTAGTTTAACTTATTATTTAATAAGTAGCAATTATGCTAATATGGTGTGACGTGGTATATTTCAAAAATTTATTACGTACATTTAAGTGAAATCGATCGATCTGTACATTTAAACGATAAAGTATTTTATTACCATTGATGCTAGATATTCGAATATTTAATTCGATGGTTTCGCCGATAAACGGTTGGACGTTATAAGGCTAAATCGACTGCCATTCGCCGGTAACCGAGAAACGGTCGAGCAATTAACCGACTAGGGAAGGTACATAATGATGCTATAATAATGTGGACGGTTTTAGAGTCGTACGATCATAGGAAACTCCAAAATGACCTTACAAAATTTCGAAATCCGGGAGAAAATTTGTGTTAACATAAGGCAGTTTCCTAACAGCTTATTCCTAATTAAAAGACCTAACTACGAAAACAAGAACAGCGAGTTTTCTGTCTACTTCTACGATATCTCGAAAGCCGATCTTTAATTTTCTACACGTGTCTACGGCTCACCTATCGGAGCGATAAAAGCTTCGCCAATATTTTCTTTGCAACGTTAAACGAGATCCAAGCAATTTGGAACAAAGTTGATACGATATCATTCGACGTCATTGGTATCTGTAACACTTCCTTCTGCGTTGATTCATACACAAAACAAAAAAAAAAATTTCCACTTTACAGTTTAAGCTGTTACAGGGTAGTGTTTTGAAGTAGCATCCACCCAATTTCCGACATAAATGTATAAAATCCGCACAGAGTGTCTAACAATTACTCGATTTAAATCCGAATGTCTGAATATGTTCGCACGTCCAAGTTTGGATACCCTAGAATCTGTTGGAGCGGAGAGTTCGGTTTGCAACGAGTATGTACTTCGATTGCTCGGGTTCCCGGTACTCGGTTTAGCAAGGGCTCCAGTTCGCACCTGTTGAATTAACAGGTCATCCGAGGCGTCTCCGCTGTCCCGAGGCCGGGGCCGGTACCGGGGCCGCGCGATCATGACCCTTTTTTCTCTTTCCGGCCGCGTTTTTACATTTATCACGCGTCGCTTGATATCATCCGCCCGTGCCAAGTGGGATATGTCGCTGCGACGACCTATGCAACGGAGACAGAAAAAACATCGTGCTCCCTGTTTTCAGATTCTATCGAATCCGGAGTTCCTGGCGGAAGGGACGGCGATCGAGGACCTGGTGAACGCGGATCGGGTTTTGATCGGCGGCGAGGACTCGATCGAAGGTCACGCGGCCATGGAGGAGTTGTGCAAGGTGTACGAGCACTGGATCCCACGGAAAAACATCCTTACGACGAATACGTGGAGCTCGGAGCTATCGAAGCTGGTGAGCGAGCTTGTTTTCCGAAAATACGCGATACATATTTGTATATTTTGCGAACAATCGAATCGGCCCTTGGATTAGATTTTGGTTATGAAAATAGACGCACCGAGAATATGGCAGGCACAGGTGCGTAGATCGGTAGCGAACAAAATTAATTAGCTAGCCCCCATATCGATTATACGTATGCATGTAGAGAATCGTCTGCCGAATGTTCGTCCCAAATTTCGAACGCGTTTCGCAACGTTCCGTGGCATATTATCTTCGAGCCAATGTTTGCTAATTTTCCACGCGTTAACGCCAGACGGTCTTGCGCAATTAGGTGAGAATTTAATTACTGATTTTAGGCCGCCAATGCCTTTTTGGCGCAGCGCATATCCAGCATAAATTCGCTGTCGGCTGTGTGCGAGGCGACCGGCGCTGATGTCTCGGAGGTGGCACGGGCGGTTGGCCTTGACTCCCGAATAGGATCGAAGTTCCTTCATGCGTCCGTGGGATTCGGCGGCTCCTGCTTCCAGAAGGATATACTCAATCTGGTGTACATATGCGAGTGCCTGAATCTGCCCGAGGTGGCCGCCTACTGGCAACAGGTCATAGACATGAATGAATACCAGAAGTCAAGGTTCTCCGCGAAAGTGATCGAATCGCTGTTCAACACCGTTACGGACAAACGGATCTCTATGCTAGGGTTTGCCTTCAAGAAGAACACCGGCGACACGCGTGAGTCACCGGCCATTCATGTCGCCAAGACCCTGCTCGACGAGGGTGCCATGCTTCACATATACGATCCCAAGGTGATTTTCTTTAATGAGCACTCAGGCATCGTGCAGTCGTCGCGCAGCCAGTCGTCGGATAACCAGCATTTCGTATACGAAGGGAAATATTTAACCCTTAACCGGCTTCCCCCGGCCTTTCTTTTTGGGGGACAGCTAAAAAAGAAAAGCAGAACTTCTTAGAATTTGTTGATACCTCGAAAGAAATTGTTCTGTAACTTGTAAATGTGAAACGCTTCGTCTTACAGATGGTACACGATCGGTCGAATATTAAAATCAAATCAAAATAAAGAATCGTATTGCAACTAGTTTTATTCGGAGCTCAGAGGTCTTAAGAACAATGAATTCTATTGGTATGATTTTATTTGCATTGGCACTGTTTTACTCCAACCGAATGATTTTTCGATGTTTAGAGGAGGATGGATCGCGCTATTGCGATTGCAGCTGAATGCAAGGTCTCTTCTTTCGTAACACAGAATTCATTTTGCATCGGCGGTGCGCATTGTGAAACGTTCTGTATACCATCCTTTCATTCGCCTTCGAAGATCGGGGACATATTATAAACCTATTAATGCGTAGAGCGTAGAGTGTGTTCGAAGAAGATACTCTGTAATAAATTAGCGAATAATTGTCACGTGGACGCGTATAGAAATTTCAAGACCGCTCGTTATAAAGCGAGTTCAAACTCTTCTATCTTTTGGAAATGAAATAGCGTGTAAATCTTTTTAGACGATCTCATGAATTCACGTAATTCTTGTGAAGTGGATGCTACTGTAATTTTTGTGTTTCTTTTTTCGCGCAGGTAGAAGAGAATCAAATTATCGAAGATCTGACACATCCAAGCGTAACAAGCGATCCCGAACACGTGAAAAAAAGGATCAATATTTACAAAGACGCTTATAGTGCTACAAAAGACACACACGCCATTGTCGTCTGCACAGAATGGGACGAATTTATAGTAAGCGATATCATTGATTGAAAAAACTTTGCGAATATAATGTCATAATCGAGTCTTACTTATTTTCTATCTCTTTTTCAGGAACTGGATTATAAACGAATCTATTTTAATATGATGAAACCAGCATACATATTCGATGGACGAAAAATTTTAGATCACGATATGTTGCAAAAGATTGGTTTTATCGTTCAAACTATCGGGAAGCGGATTACGAAGATGGCAATATCGAGAACGTGGGGTAGCCAAACTCAAATGTAAACGATGCTGTGCAGAAGAATTTCACAAATTCATTTCAACAACATATTATGCGGATGTTTTACTTTTGAAATCCGATGCTCTTGTTTGCCACTGCACAAGAAGCGAAGTAATTGTATAAACTATTTTTTTATTCGATATGTTTGTCAGCATTTACTACTTACGAGATATCAAAAGTAGAACAACCGCGCTTGTACTAAAGTGTACCGAAACAAGAATGTTTAAGCGGAAGTTAATTAGTTGGTAATGTTAATAGTCAGAGATAAATACGTTTCGTCGACGTATGCGGTAACGAATAGAGCAACGAGAGTTGCATCAAACGTTTGTATACACTTTTTACATGATTTGATAGTACATAGCGAATTAAGTTATTCGTTACTTTGACTAGAACGATACGCATCGAAGCATCGTTTGTAACTTTTTGTTAAAACTATGATGCAAGTTCTATTGCAAATTTATCATGGGCATTTACACTACGGAAAGAAATATTACGCGAAAGAGCAAAGTAAAATTTTAAATAATTTCTTTTACGTACAATATCGTGTATATGCCGAAAACCATAAGATTTTAAATAATAGTACATTCCTGCAGAATCGTACTTGCCTCGAAATGTATGCATTTTATTTGTAAGATGCCGCGGTAAGTACATAGTTCTAAGTTTTACACACAGAATTATTATACCGTTCAAACATCTTCTTTCGATCTTTTCTTTCGCATTTTAGAGGAAATCTCATATAAGGCCCTACAACAAATTGCGAATCCTGTTAGATAATATTTTTACACGTTCGAATGATTCCTATGAAATGGTTCTGCCATTTTTTAAAAATACGACGAAATTATTACTAAAGTAGTTCTTCCTCTCCACCGACGAAGAACACTTTAGTGCTTAAAGTATTATATTTTTCTTTATAAGAATAGTAATAAGTGTGAAAAGATAAAAAGCATAGCAATAATGCGATTGTTATCATCGATACGATTGTTTGCGAAGACGATTTTAAGAAAACGGCGAAAGACCATAGCGTTCGCAACAATTTTACGAATATTTAATTTTATCCGATATGAAATTGTTATATAAACTACATTCGAAATTTATTTCATACAATATTATATCTTTGCTTTCACGATTATATACGCATAAAATTTATAAATAAACGTTTTTTGAAATTGCGTAGATCGTCAGATTTATTTCCCGCTTCTAACTACAGAGTTTCACTTTCGAAACACCTATTTTTAAAACCTGTGTTTCGAATATATGTTGGGACTAATTTACACAAATTCATCAGAATCATAACAAAATTCTTAAATTGCTTCCTCCTCAATTTTTACATAAGAGTCCTTTTTCCTTTGGTCGTAATCCAGACCTTACCTAATAAAATAGCAGTAATACGATAGATTTTGTTAACTTTTTTTGCGAATATCTAGAAGACTACAAGAGAGCTTGTATCTGCAGGGAAAAGTTGTTCAGAATGCTGACCTTGACAACATATTTCAACGTCATTGGAATCACAGGTGGCACTCTTAAACCGCGCTACACGTATTTATATTGCACCGATCTTTCGATTTATCGAGGCCCGACAGGAATTGGTTACGGCCCTGGCGCGGAAGAACGATGGCGCCGCTGAAGCTGAAGGGAACTACATACTTGCCGCAGCCGCAGAAGCAGAGGCAGAGGCAGCAGCGGCGAAGACCGGAGACGGTAGACTGTAGACGATCGTAACTGTAGACTGTGTCGGTGGTGAACGGTTGCGGACGGTTGCGGACGGTTGCGGACGGTTGTGGACAGTTGTGGACGGTGGTGACGGTGGTGGTGACGGTGGTGACAGCGACGGTAGTAGCGGCGGCAGTAGCAAACAGCACGAGTTGCTGGCTCTGCGTTCTCTACGAAAGCTCGCGAGTGCTCGCGAGTGTTCCTCGTGACAGTGGTGTATGCCGACAGTGATTTTGGTATCGAATACCGAATATCGAAGCGTGGCAGACGACGACCGATAACGACGATGCCGAAGTGTCGGCGTCATGTGATTCGCGCGAGCCATTCGTCGAGGTGCCAGCAGTAGTACATAGCAGCACACGGTAGAGAGTTAGAGAGTGAATCGTTCGGTGCGCCGATGATTTTTTTCCTCGTCGCACGCGTGTCCTCTCTTTCTGTTGGCCAAGAGGGATAATAGGCCGGGCCTATCAGCACAGTAGGAAAATGGCGGCTTGCCTCGCACGAAGTAGACGATCAGGTTCAACGACAACGACGGTGTTCTTCGCGTGACGCGCACGTACGCGCAATCTCGTCGGAGGGAAACGAAAAATAACCTCCTCGCGATCATCTTTCGCCAACTCCGTCGCGAAGTGTGTACGGTGGTTAAACCGCGTGTGTTACGTTCGATCTTGTTGTCGGCGCGGCGAAACGAACGACCCGTCTAGAGAGAAGGAGAGCAAAGAGGGATAGAGAGCGAGAGAGAGAGAGAGAGAGAGAGAGAGAGNTAGCGGCGGCAGTAGCAAACAGCACGAGTTGCTGGCTCTGCGTTCTCTACGAAAGCTCGCGAGTGCTCGCGAGTGTTCCTCGTGACAGTGGTGTATGCCGACAGTGATTTTGGTATCGAATACCGAATATCGAAGCGTGGCAGACGACGACCGATAACGACGATGCCGAAGTGTCGGCGTCATGTGATTCGCGCGAGCCATTCGTCGAGGTGCCAGCAGTAGTACATAGCAGCACACGGTAGAGAGTTAGAGAGTGAATCGTTCGGTGCGCCGATGATTTTTTTCCTCGTCGCACGCGTGTCCTCTCTTTCTGTTGGCCAAGAGGGATAATAGGCCGGGCCTATCAGCACAGTAGGAAAATGGCGGCTTGCCTCGCACGAAGTAGACGATCAGGTTCAACGACAACGACGGTGTTCTTCGCGTGACGCGCACGTACGCGCAATCTCGTCGGAGGGAAACGAAAAATAACCTCCTCGCGATCATCTTTCGCCAACTCCGTCGCGAAGTGTGTACGGTGGTTAAACCGCGTGTGTTACGTTCGATCTTGTTGTCGGCGCGGCGAAACGAACGACCCGTCTAGAGAGAAGGAGAGCAAAGAGGGATAGAGAGCGAGAGAGAGAGAGAGAGAGAGAGAGAGAGAGGGAGAGAGAGAAAACCAGTGGTTGAAAAAGGGAAAGACATTGTTAACGCATATGCATTATAGACGCGGCGATTTGCAATGAGAGCGGGACGCGAGGAGAACCGGAGAGACAGCACGAGAGGCGTGTAACGAAGAACCACTGTGCGTTCCGTTTGCGCGTGTGTGTGCGGGCTCGTATGAGAGCGAGCGGCGGTCACACCGGTGACAAGTGTTCCGTCGACGGGGAACTTCGCCTTATCCCCGAGTCGACAAGAAGATGATATTACAAGGTCTGCAGGAGGACCGTCGTGCGTACGTCGATCGAGATCCTCGTGCCGCCGTTCCCTGTCGTCGCCATTGAGCTACGGCCGTTTTCGCGAAAGCAGAGTGGATGTGCTGTGAACGGCGGGACGATCACGACCAAAAGCCCGAGGGAAGATGAGAGGCGCGTGCGACGGCGGCATAGCGGGTTTTCTCGCTCTGGCGCTCCTCTCTTTATTTCACACGTCATGCCTTGTAGATGGTACGTAATGCTTTTACTGCCGATTGCTTCTGTCTCTTTTCCCCCCCTGACCCGCCGTCCTTATTCCTTTTTTACGTTCCCTCGTTCATCTTCCCGTCTCTCTCTCCCTCTCTCTCTCTCTCTCTCTCTCTCTCATCCTCTCCCTTTCCCATCCGTCCGTTCGTTTACCTGTCTGTCATTCTTTCTGCATTCTGTTCGACCATCGTTCCCGCTTTTTCCCTCTTCGTTTTGCTCTCGAAAACGCGTAACGTTGCATAAGCAGCACTGTGTGCGAAAGGGCCGATTAATCTTGTTGTGTTTACTACGAGGTTCTGCAAGTATGCGGAAGGGTACATTTAATCGCCGCAAACCGTGCGTGGACTTGACACGTCTATCTACGTATGCATGCACGTTGCGGAAACAACGTTTCCCGTCGTTTCGCTTCTCTTTTCGTCGAGCTTGCAGCATTTTTACCGTTCTTCTCCCGCGTTCGCCCCCGTGTCAACCGAAACACGTCTTATCGAACCGGACGAAGTAGCGCCGGAACTCGCGGGTCTTTCTTGCATGCGACGAGCTCTTAACGAGCGTTCCCAACGGTTTCGTGTCAACCGGTCGTTCCGATCGTTACATTACGATTATATTAATCGACGAGCATCGCGCGTCTTTAATTTACATCGCGTTCAACAGAAAATCGGATCTACCATATTTATTGGCCCGATAACCGACGCCCCGTGTCGTAAACACGTCGCATGAAACCCGCCGATCGGGTACTTTAGTACAATTCGCTTGGTAGTCGTTCTCATGTGCTATTATGTCCTAGCTCTCTTAGACGCATCGAGCGTAGATTCCTTTTGTTTACGATGTAACGTCTTCGCGAATTAGTCGTGTAGTTACCGTTACGTTACCGGTGCACGTATTTCGGGTCCCGGTAAGTTTGATTTTTTTCAAACAGCACGCTAGACATTAGTCATCGACTAGTTTTAGTTGTTATTATTATTGCATTCGTGATTGGAATTTTATTTCAAGATGCTTGCTAAGATCTGCCGGCATTAATTTGCAGCGTCTTGTCGCGATTATTTTTTATTAACGAACCCGAAGATAAGCGGTATCTCGCGGTTCTGAAATCCAATCGTTTTCGACCGATACGTAATCTTTCGCCAATATGTTGCATACGCGTGCAGTTCAGTCCTTTATTAAACACCTTCGGGCCTGCCTGCGTCTCGAACTTATTATTGCGAACATATTCTCGCCAGCTGTTCTCTTATCTCTGTCGCCCGTCGGTAGTTAATTAAGACACTTTCTGCTTCACGTTTTTTCTCTCCACAGTGATTTACCGACCTTCTCCCGACATAATTTCCAACTAAACGATGCTCGGGTTTGCGCGCTTTGCAAGTAAATAATGTACGTTCGTAATAATTATATAACGTGTCGTCGTTGTCGCGACATCGGCTTTATAGAATATTTCATAAGTTCCTAGTTTAGTTAGAAGTTCTTATCCGATGCCAGCCTTCCCGTAGCCCATCAAAATTCTCATTTTTGTCGATATTCGCAGGTTACCGGTCCGGTATGCCGTTGTGGAAACATTTGTATCATTAGTCATCGATCGACGATCGATTTCGAAATTGGAGGGCCCGATTATATCTTGCGCGTACAATTTTATCGACCGTAAGATTTAGGCCCGCATGTATGTTTTTACCTTCTAATGGTGCAATTCCACCAAACCTTTCCAACTACACACTCGAATACGTTTTCATTTTTCCAAAGTCTGCTCGCGCTTACTCGATCGCTCGACACTCGCGTAATTATTTTCATAGAACAAGCATCTGATCATTCCGAATTCCGCCCGTTCGAAGCAATCGATCTCGAAAGGGCGCGAGATCCGCGATCGGATATCCGATACGTGACCGACAAAAACATATATACATAAATCGCTTCGAAGCTTGTATATAAATTTTTATTTCGAAACCATGCGCAATCGATTCAACGCGGTTTTATTGTACAGAGCGAATCCAGCAACTGGACCGGCTGGCCCGTAACTTTGTTTCCATCGCAGCTAGCAACACGTTGCTCGGGCAAATTTTGCATCGTTTATCAAGTTCTATCGTTGCGTCGAGCGGTTCAATTTCTCGTACAAGCGCATCGGTGCAGTTGCAGAGGACGATCAAACATTTTCTTTTTAACTACAACGCTTCGGTTATTCGATACAATGCCGAAACGGTCTATTCGATTTTTGTGCAACACTTTTGAATCGCAAATATAGTTTGTTACGTTTGGAGCACTGTTCAGGGTGAAACAGGTTCGAGCATACGCGGTTCTTGCTAGGCTGACAACGAGAGATTTCGCTGGAAACGTTATGCACGATTACGCGTGTATTAAAAGTTTTAACGGTTCGAATTGCACGTAACGCGTTACAACGCGTGTCGGGTGCGTAAAGCGTAAAGCATGTCAGACGTTACTGCTACATTACCGGTACTACCGTACAAGCGTTCGCATTATGGACAATTCGTGCCGTTATAAATTTGATACGCGCGACGTTTTGAAAAATGTTCGTCACAGAACGTTGAGCAGTTGTCACACAATAATTTCTGTATATAAAATTTCACGAAACTAACAGCTTGCGCCGCGTTGTGGAAAAATATATTATTTGCTATTATATCCATATAATCGCAAGGAAAGAAATTTTCGTCCCGACCTAAAAGAAGAAAGGAAAATGTGCATCGAATAAATTCGAAATCCGTCGCGAGTCAAACTCGGTGCTAAAAGTCGAAGATTCGAAGCGCACTCCTTCGTGCTCGCGATTGAGAAATTTCTCAATTTTTTTCGACGAGGTTATCGATAATTCGAGACCGAGACCGAAGGATTCGGAAGGAACACGACGCGAGAGTTCCGGCGCACGATAATGTTCGCAACGAAGTGTCTTCCGGCGCAAGTGGCACCGATAATAGCAAGAATGTATATTTAGCGAATCGAGTTTTCAATCTGCTCGAGGACGTGGGTGTATCTCTCTCGAATCGCGGAGGAAACGCTCGCGTAATCTCCGGGCCTAACAATACGCCTGACCGAGTACAGATTTATCCCGGTAGATAATAAATTCCACGGTTGAATTAACACGTGTTACGCGCCGCTTCGTGAATTGCAATTTCGCATTTCGCATTTCGCGTTTCGCCCCGGCGCGACGCGGCGTGGGAGTATCTTTCTCCGCTTTCCATTTTCCACCGTGTAGGCGTGCATCTTTCTCTCTTCCTTTCTCCAGCTCGCGGAGGAAACGCTCTTGTAATCTCCTTAATCCACCGGTGTATTTAACGCTGCTGCTTCTTCTTCTTCTCCTTCTCCTCCTCCTTCTTCTTAATCTTCTGTTTTTTCTGCCGCTCTTTTTTTCAGGAGCTCGCAGTACTACTAATTACGCGGGCATGGCTGTAAGGGAGCAATTAAGTCGTTGTTTGGGAAATTAACGCGTTCGAGCGTGTTTCGTGTTCGCGAGGACCGTACGGATCGCGGTTGTTTTTAAAGTTATATAATAATCTCGTTCGACGCGTTTCAACGTCGACGCGAAAATTGTTTAAAGTTTCCGTGGAAAACGAATTTTTGCCGCTGCGCGGCGATCGTTGGTCGCAATCGTCGACGGTCGAGAAGCGGCTTTCATTTTTTGTCGGAGCGAGCAAAAAGACGCGATTCGATTTTGAATTTTACATTGAGAACAAGTTGTAGAAATATCGAGGAAATACGCGGAAGGAGCGTTACGTTCGAATGCAGATTCTTCTATTTCGATCGCGGAGTTCGAAGCGGCAATAAATAACTGAATAAACAGCATATTTTTAAAGCCGCTTCTGTATTTCTGTATTCGCATCTTCGCGATGCCTAGAAAACTGGTTTACGGCAATATGTAAAACGTATTTGACAAAGAAGACAATAGAAGTTCGCACGCGTCGGAATACTAATGCAGATTGAATAAGTTATATGATAAACGGTGTAAAATTTCGGATCGGAAGATCGATCGAGGCTACGCGGCCGATTCGATCGCGCACGAATCGCAGATTGCATCGTCATCGATGCACGCGCGCGTCTCTACGCAGGAACGACGATGGTTCGCGACGATTCCAGCAAACTCGCGGCAGCTCGTTACGTGTTACGACATAATTGTTTTGTTTATGATCGGAAAAAATCGGCGGATCAATAATTCATAGATAGCCTGTTGATCTCGCACTGGTCCGCGTTTATTAATTAGAATCAAGGAAATCGTCCACTTTTCTTGCCGGCCCGAGATTGAAAATTACCAGCCAGAAATTGCACCTCGCCGCGCTTGATTTATCGTCGGAATTCATTAACGATCCTGGACGTCTCGTGGTTGACATTCGAACGAAACGTTCGATCGGCAAACTTACAAACAAACTTTAACTTGCCGAGACGCGCGATTCGATTTTCAAAATAGTCTTTTTATTCCGACGATATCCCAATGACTTGTCGACGCTCGCTGAAAAGCGATCGGACATCGATAATAAACATCGACCGTCGGAATAAATTATAGTTCGTTCGGCGATCGGATGGGAGAGTCTAGGCGATCGCGAGTATTTTTAATATCGCGTAAGCCGCTGAATCGAGTCCGTTGTTTACAGTTTCGAACGATCGTCGTCCGATTCCTGGCGAAACCGTTGGCCCGTGCCGGCGATATTGGTCTCTGAAAATGGTCCGCGACCGAGAACCGCTGTCTCGCGCGTCCACCGATCTCTCATCTAAACTAGAAAAGCTTGTTCCTTTCCTTTTTGAAAGAATATCGATGCTGGATCACCGAGAACGCGTATCCTCGAGAAGAACGTAAATCGCGATACATTCGTATTCGATTCTGTGCTCGATATCGTCCGGATGTCCGAGTGTCGCGATTTACCGTTGTTGCTTCGCGTTCTACCAAACGTAAAATTCTTTTCGAAATCCCGTTCGAATTCCTAGATCGGTCGACTTCCGAAGGAAATTGCAATCGTTTCGTCGCTGTTGCTTTTTTTTCTTCCGAAAACTGTAACTTGGATGCGTAACGCTGTTTTAAATTGCAAAATCTACATTCCCTCGGATATTCGAGTATCGACGACAAGAGAACAGAATCGCGTTTCGACACGAAACGACGCAACAACGTTCGTACTTAAAAGGCTATTGCTAAAAATCACCATCGGACTCGCGAAAGTGCGGCGTCGGGTTAAGAAAACGCGCAATCAGGAGTCGCCGATCCTTGACGATATCCTCTATCAACCACCATCCGGAGATTATCTTTCAAGGAATCGTCGGACTGGAGCAATGACGCTGAAACGTGTACCGTCCGCCGTGTAATTTATTCTGTGGCGCAGATCCGTGATTGGCCCCGTAACCATCGCGCGATTTGTATTTAGAGCTGCGATTCTCAACAGGCTAGGCGTGTCGAACGAGAACCGGACCGATCTCGAATTTTGCGTCGATCGTACCTAGAGGGGTGGGATCGAGAATCGAGACGCGATTCGTTGTTCGCCGGAAGGTCTTTGCTCTTTCACGGCGCGGGGCCACGTTTTATTCCACGATTTATTCGGTTTATTACTTCACTCCCTAAGATTGTCCACAAAAATGGACAATTTGGGAAGAGGAGATACGATCGTTCGACTATTTTTATAGTAGATGTGTATAAGAGACAGCCCTAAGATTGTCCACAAAAATGGACAATTTGGGAAGAGGAGATACGATCGTTCGACTATTTTTATAGTCACGAATTGTCAAGAACTATAAAAACGTGCTGCAAGGCTCGAATAATCGTATCTTCTCTTCTCAAATTGTCCATTTTTCTGCTCGATCCGAGCGTCAGTTTGGGAGACATCGCTGTATTTCGACTTTGTAAAGGAACATCGAAACGATTTCGAGTTTTCCTCGGTAGACGCGTCCGTACGAAAAATACGACTACGAATCGCGTTTAAAGCGAACATCCGCTGATCCATTATCTATCCGGGTGAACAAATTCGTTGGCTGATCCGTCATCTTAGTCGGTAGGTTGAATTGTTCAATTTCAGAAGGAAATTCGATGGAACAACGTCGAGCGTTGGACGGAAACGTTCGTCCTCGTCCGCCGCCTCTCGTCTCGGCGTGTTCACCGGCAAACTCTCGTTCCGTTAACGTTTTGTTAGCCGTTAGTCGTTCAACTCGATTATAGTTGCTCGCTTCTGATGCGAGTGCTTTCGTATCGCGGTCGCTCGACAAAAGCTGTTTGCGAGGGAAGTTTACCGCACCCCCGGCAGAACTTTTATCTGTATCTGTATCTGCATCTGCATCTGTATCTGTATCTGCATCTGCATCTGCATCTGCATCTGCATCTGTATCTGTATCTGCGCTTGTATCTGTCTCGCGTCGAACAATGCTGCTTTAATCCATCGGAAGCTTTACCATCCATCAGATATTAAATCGAAGAATCTAATCGTGTCCTTGTTCCATTGTTTCCGTCCGACGGACAAATGTTCTGCCATTTGCTACGTCAATCCTAAAGCAGGGCATCGTAACCCGATTCTAGTTGAGCAAAATCATCATCTTGCGTCTCTCTCTCTCTCTCTCTCTCTCTCTCTCTCTCTCTCTACGTGAATACCTATCTACATATAGATTACCTATCTATGAATAAACGAAAGTAATCCGAAGCACGAGCATCGTAATAATTTGATTTCTGATATTTCGCGATGTATGCGCAAGTCGGCCGATCTCGTTCCCGTTTCTCATTGGTCACTGTTTTTCGTTGACTCGTAAACAAAGTCGCGGATTTTGTACTCGCGTTAAGGAGAAAGTTACATCGAACGACCTCGGAAATCCCTCGTTTCCCGTTTGCCAGCGACTCTTGGGACACTCTGTATATCGACAGATTTTCCAGGGTTTCGCGAATTGAATTAATTTGATTTTGTGAAAATCTTTGGGGTCGATTTTCGGCGATTATCGCGTCGACGTGCCGCGAGTCCCGCGGACCGATCTGGGTCCCGGTACCAACAACGAGCAGTTATCGGACGTCCATCGACCTAGTTCCAAGAAAGGACCTAATAGACCCGCAAAAAATGCTTCGCAAGGGTCGGCATCGATGGGAATTTCTCGCACAGGTAGCTAGCTCTTCTCTCGGGTTTCGTGTTTCGCGTTTCGCAGCCCTTCGGCTCGATGCGGCCGCGGCTGCAGCGCGGCGGATTCTTCGAACCGTTCTCTCTCTGCTCTCTGCTCTCGGCTCGGGAGAGCAGCATCCGATGTGGGCGTGCGCTAATGACTTGAATTAAACTCGTTTCGTCGAGTCGTGCACCACGGCCCGAAAACGTAGCTACTTATGTCTCGGCGGCCCTCGACGGATGAGACGTATTACGCTCGGCCCGGCATTCTTTTCTGTGAATCGACCTGAGCGAGAGAGAGAGAGAGAGAGAGAGAGAGAGAGAGAGAGAGAATCAAGATTTGAATTCCGTCGGTGGCCTCGGCGCGGCGGTCCCTGAGATCGGGTCGCTTTGAACTCGCATAACGCCAACGCCGCTTATCGTCGATCGAACTCGCCGGAAATCGTATCTCGCGATGCTCGATTCGGTGGCCGATCGCCGATCGCCGATTTCGCCGCGGTCATTATGTCATCGTGTTATCGATGATCGCGGTCGAGTATTCCGGGTGATGCACTGGACTCGGACGATCCGACAACGAGTCTCGCGCGATTCTCGGAATTACCGTTGGCATCGCTCGTTACAGATTATGTATTATGTTAACGATATTCGGGTTTTTCGTGTCATTGTTCGCCCGCCGTCGAAGCTTCCAAATCAGAAAAATTACAAGACGACCACCGACGCTAATGTAAAAAAGCAGCAACGGCAATAGCAGCTCTTATTAGCAATTTTTAGAGCCATCGCATTCCAATTCCAACTTCGATTCCACAGATTATAATTATTCGAGGTTTATGTCTGTAATAAATACCAGTTTAATATCATCCGAACGTGTTGGACCGTGAATTTTAATGGGTCGACGATAACGCAACTATCTTTAAATTGTTCTAACGTTTTTACCGTTTTGTGCTCGATCTATCGATTTTTTCGACAAACGCAATCCAATTTAAATATAATCGTATTCGAACGATAGCATTCAAGATCGTAATTCCAAATGGAATTCGCATAATTGTAAATTAAAGAGAGAATATCAAATTGTTCGCATCTTATCGATCGCTCCAGCGAGCTCGCGATAACGTACGCGAGTCCGAGGCGCCGAGAAGCTTCGAATTAGTGTCTCTCGAATGAAATTTAGGTGTCTCGGTTTCCCAAGCAATTAGTTTCGCTGTTCAAGGATCTTATTCGGTAGAGTTTTCGAGCTACGCACGGTAAGGTCACCGCCGAAAAAAAAGATGCGTTAACTTCGGAACGATTGCGTCACCATCGACGCGATAAATTGTTGAGCAAATAATGCCGGCATGGTTGTTCGCGATAGATCCTGGTACATTCGAGCCTCGAGCTACGCTTTTTCAAGCTCGTCCGGTTAGCTCGAGCGAGTCTCGCTTTCTGGCGGAGATGGACAAGAATCTCTTCGAAGATAACGAGCGGGAGCCGCGCGCGACCGAGCGCGATCGAAATCGTTCGAAAATATACGTCGCTGTCTCTGCGAAGCGAACACTGTGAAAACATATTTTCCGTTTAGAAAGCACAGATGCGATCCCAACGTAAATATCGTAGCAATTTTTTATATCGAGCGGAGGGTTCGATCGCGCGAACGCGTTGTCAAATTTATTCGGTTGTCCCCACCTTTCCGGCTAATTCAACTTCTTCTGGAAGTTTTACGTAATCGTGGACGTCGCGCGAACAAAAAACGAAAGCATATACATATTATTTTGTCAACACTTTTCGGAATATTCGATCGCTCCGCTATCGAAGCATCCTTCAACGACAATAATAGTATTCGCGACTTCGACCAAACATTTTCTGTCGCGAATATTCTATATGCGATTAGAACCTTTCGCCTGCGATACTTTCTAACGAGATCGATAATTTTGAGAACATTCGACTCGTAAACTCCTCCATCCAGCTGCTCCAATCGCCGAGCACCGACTCCCCGGTGTCGAAGCGATCGATACGAAAGATTCGTGAAAACGACCTTTTAGTGGCCCATCGAAGATACGATCGGCTTCGTTATCGGCTACGTTTCGCTCTTATCGCTGGTACGCGATCGACCCACGACTCCGCGTCGCGACGCGAAGCGAAGCGACAGAAATCAACTTTTCGTGCATCGAAACCGAAATTACGTCGAAATTCGGCGGAATTCGTCGGAGCTCTTTCAAATTTGCTAAATGTTCGTTTTTCTTTTGGTTTTCCAGGACTGAAGTGTCACTGCGATATTTGCGCCGATACCAATCACACGTGCGTGACCGACGGCTATTGTTTCGCCAGCACCAGCTTGGAGAACGATGTTATCACGTACGCTCGGAGGTAACGTATACGTGCATGCGTGCTGGCGCTAGGAGAGAGCAATTCCACTGACAAAAATTTTGTTCAACGTCGTATTACAGCCGAGTGTATTCGTACCCGGTACTCGGTACTCGGTACTCGGTACTCGGTACTCGGTACTCGATACCCGGTACTCGGTACTCTATGACCATCCGATCGATCGTCTATAGTCTATGAACTCGCTCGCTATTCCCCACAGTCCACACAGCCCCCTTTCCCGATCCCCTCTCCAGAAGTCGTAGAAATTTTGCGAATCGCGATAATCGCGAATTATCGAGAGCACCGTACGCTAACACATTTCGACGCGAACGAGCATTCGCGGTTCCGCGCTAAAACGGTCCCGATTTTAACGCCGAATCGACCTTCGTCGATCGAACGACCCGCTTCGAATCTTTTATTCGAATATCGCGATCGAATCATAGACCCGGATATTTCGAGGTCGATTCGACCACGCGTTATAACGCGATAGATAGATAGATCGTTCTCGCGAACGTGGAACACGATCGCGGTATTATTCTGTACGCGGTTCGATCTTCGATTACGCATCCGACTCGTACAGAAAAAGTTGGCGCAGCTTCTCGAGAATAGCAGAATGTTGTTCGCGCGAAATGTGTTACGGACCGTAATCGTGTCGCGTCACGATTCGAGTCAACGTTTGTACTTTGAAATATCGTGCAGCGAATTGTGTAACGAAGCCGTTGCGGATAACGTAACGCCGTGTAGATTAAACGATCGGTGCTAATCTTAATGCACGTTAAGCCGACAAGAAGTTAGGGAATCCGGAAATTTGAAAATTATAAAATTCTCCGAGCAAATAAAATAATTGCGATAGCGACAGAATCGCGGGAATCGTCGCATCGCAATTATTTTGCAAGAGAAAGAAAACGGTACAGCGGAGTATACGACGCAAACACGGCGCTGCCGTTGAATTTTCCTGTCGAATCGATCGGTAGACGGTGTCCAAAGTTAACGACTGTTTATCTCAGCGATAAAAGGTCCAGAGTAACCGGTGAATTTTTGTTTTATCGTTTCTCGCTCGAACGGGACGCATCGAAATTGCTACATGTTATCGTTATTACATAATTTCGATATTGTTTTCGGGTTGCGATCGTTTTATCGAGACGAGTTCGTCGATTTCGATACAGATTGCTCGAAAACATCCATTTCAAGAGGTCTTCCTGTTTTCTAGAATCGTAAAAACGATGTTGAAACGCGTATTTCGCGCTTGTTCGAGTACTCCTATATTTTGGCTGACTTTTGTACGTCGCGTGTACCAATAGCGTCGATATTTTATCTATTGGAAGATTCGTGTCTCCTCGATCTCCCTACTTTCGTTAATTTTAAGGAATACGGAACGTGTTTTCTTGCGCCAATCGAATTCCGTCGATAGAGTGAAACGAAATGAAATGAAAGTCCACAGAAAATAGAAATTCGAAAAGTTCTCAATCGCTGTCCAGCATTTGCGGCAACCAGAACATTTTATGGATAATTTAACAGAAGAATACGGCGTCGCGTTGTTTCCGAGCCACCGTGTAGATTAGCCAAATATTTCGAGTACTCGGGAACCTTCCGGGTAATTCTCGGCCCTTCGATCGCATTCACCGCGAAAGGAAGTTGAACGAACAGTCACGTTCTGTTACTGTTACTGCTACTGCTACTGCTACTGTTACCGTTACCGTTACCGTTACCGTTACCGTTACCGTTACCGTTACCGTTACCGTTACCG